TCTTGTAGTAAGCCTATTGGTTGAGCTAGAGGACATGGTTAAACACAGTCTAAGGGTTTCAGATGATGGAGAACCCACCACACCCCGAACATAATAGCTCCAGTGGTTAATTACATTCTCTCTTAAAAGTGCACACCTTGTTTCTAGTCTGAATTTGTCAGTCTCTAGCATCCAGTCATCAGATCCTGTTATACGTATCTGTTAGATTAAGGGCATGTGTGTACTTTTCCCCCAGTTTTCCTAAAAGCAATGATGAGAAGCATTACCTGTCTCTCTGCACACACCAAACCTGAAATGAGGCTGTGAAGCCCCCCAAGGAGCATACTTGTTGCTTCTCTTGAGATCCATCTCTAGCATGCTGGAGACCAGGAGTGGGTGGTTGGGCTGCGCTTCTTGCCAGCACTTTCACAAGTGCTGTAAATGTTGTACCAACCTGTACTAAATAGGTATCTATTATCAGAAGTCTCTTTTCCATATTGGTACTTGTCTCCTTTTAGTCTTCCCTTCAGTAAACTAAACGGGTTGCACTTCCTAGCTCTCCTACTGTAAAGTATGTTTTTCCAGATATCAGTCATTCTGGTAGGACTTTCCAATTTTACAGTAGGCTTTTGGAAGTATGGACCCCAGACCTGGATGCAGTGTTCCAGCAGTGGTCTCACTAACATGAAATACACAATCAATCCCATCTCCACACTTTATATTCCCTTGCTTTTACAGCCAAGTTCTGGATTCGCTCTCTTCTCTATAGTGTCATGCTGGGAGATCATGTTCAATTAGTTATCTGTCAAGACCCCTCATTGATCTCTGGACTCTTAAATACAGGTTTTCTTTTGCTCTTGCAGAGTGCCACAAGGTCTGTAATGATCAGTAGTGGTTAGGAGGTCCCTTTTAACAAAGCAGCCGAGCACTACGGAGTAGCGTCAATTGAAAACTGACTTATAGCTGCTACACCCTGACATTTCCCTAGCCAAGTACTGATTTGTCCAAACCCTGATTAGCTAAAGATCAGAACTCCAGGAACATTTATTTTTTTGGTGATTTTTTTACTTCGGGGTGGGCAAAATATGGCCTGCAGGCTGAATCTGGCCTGCCAGGTCATTCTGTCCGGCTCGCAGGGCCCCTACAAACTTTGGAAAATATTTATCTTCTCCTGGCTGCCTGTCAAAGATGACGGGAGACCGAGGCAGTAGGACCCAAGGGGAGCCTCAGCAGGAACACAGCAGCCCAGCCCAACCCCACCCCAGGCCATTTTCCTGTCCTCCAGCTCCTGCACTGCTCCAGCACCACATGGCTCCTGGTTGCATCACCAGACTGGGGAGCACAGGGCCGCTCCAGTACCCAGGGGGTGTGTGTGTGTGTGTGTGTGTTCATAGGGTTAGGCCCACACACACACCCCACCATACACATGCACCCACACCCCCTCTCACACTGCCATACCTGCAGACCACCACCCCACACCCCTTCACATACCCAAGCCACCCTCCCCCCATGCACTGCCCCTCATAAACCCCATATCCACCCACACCCCACATATCCACACACACCCATATGCTCCCTCACCCCACACCCATCCACCCCCAGCAGGGAGGCTGCTCTGGGGTATCTCTTTGCAGCCATTCTTAAACGAACCAGAGACCAAGGTCTCAAGAGCAGTCATGAAGAGTCTGAAGCATCTTCACCAGCACAGTTCTGAATTTGGAGTGTGCAAGCAGGAACAGGCATAAGGGGTGAGTCTGGGAATAGTGCAGCCAGGACAAGCTACTGCTGTACTGTAAACACATCCTCAGTCCTTAGAGATTTTCTTAGTGCTCTAGGAAGCTTTTAGTCTTTGAAGAAATACTGAATTGTAGTTGCAGGGTTTTTCGAGAAGACTGGTAGCAAGCAGAAAGTTTGTTCTCTGCCTTTTTCTCCCTAACTGGAGAGTTTGTTGAGACAAGTTGCTCTCTGCCACTCCCTCAGCACATGGTCATAGGTGCTGAGGGAAGGGATTGCCTGAATGCTGCAAATGATGGCTGTTTCAGGGCTGCTATATTGAACAAGTATACGCCCAGTCTTTTCCCCTCCAGTGGGAAACTGACTGAGAAGGCTCCAGATATCTGTTACAGCTTGGCAGAGGGGCACTACTGGTATGAGGAGCAGGCTGCTACATTTGGAAGAGAGGCACCAATATATTTTAAGCCAGTCGAATTTTTTAGCAGGTGTCACTAGCCAAGATTGACCATGTTCAATCTGTAGCTAAGTGCCTCATGCTGCCAGTTCCATTAATGACCTGGGTTTTGAAGTGAACACATTTGCATTGTGTAGTAATTTCCCATCAGGAAACACATTATTCCAACCTTGAGCCACAAAGGCTTAATTGACTTGAGCGAGTCATCACTTATTTGACAGTCCAAGCCCTGAAGCATCATTGGAGATAATTAGAATATAAGCACGTGAGTGCTTGTACTCGGGATGAAGCACTCAAGTCACAGCAGAGCAAAATGGTGTCATGCTGCTTCCCATGAATGCTGCCTTCCCCAGCCTAGCAGTTGCTCCCAGTGTTAATTAGTATTGTTTGGTTTGTATTTGGAGCAAGCTCTGTCTGGCTTCCTTAATTAGCTATGTCTGTGTTCGTGAGATTTCGTCTCTTGCTGCTAGTTAACAGTGCTTGATACAGACAAAGGCCAGAACTGTAACAAAGCAGTTCATTAAAGGGGCATTACCCACAGCAGTGATGCTCAATGTTTTTCTTCTTTAGACAGCCAAATAGCTGGGGAAGTGGCCAACTGCATCATTGCTGATACAACAGCTCCCTACTGTTACTGCTGTTGAAGGAGAGGGGTTGGCCTTGAAAGGGTGGACAGCCGTCTCTCTACTCCCAAAACTGGACTAGGAGGCAGTGGAGCTGGATCCACACTGTTGCAAGGGGCATAGTGGATAGTCTGGGACAACCTGCGAGAAATCAGCAGCCTGGGCAGCAGCACATGTCAGCTATGTCACAACTCTGGACCTGACTCTTCAGATGATGCAATAAAAATGGTCTTTCCTTTATTACTAATCATATTTGGCCAAACAAGCGTGGTTCTTTATGGGAGCAGCAAAAGCACATTCCTGGTCCCCTGGAACATCCCTCCTAAATATCCCTTTCATTCTGCAAGACACAAAGCCACTATCATTTCTTGGGGCAGTTGTTTTTTTTTTTAACACAAACCGAACAGCTGAACCATTTTTACAGGATATTTTTTAACAAAAATCCAACCCATGGCAGATCCCAAGCCTGAAACACTTCGGTCCAAATGGTTATAGTTCTGCAAAGGCAGAAACAGCTGAGGACAAGGTCTTATAAGTCTCAGGCAACAGTAACAAGAGATGGTTTTACTGCCTTTACCTATCGTAATGCCTACGGTTACTGTGAATTATATAGAGCGGTATTTTACTGTGCACTCCTTTTGCTGCTTGGTTATAATTTGCATTCTGTATTCACAAATGGAGGGTTTGGGTTCATTATTAGAGGTGCACCAACACATCAGTCCGATATCGGATTGGCACTGATATAAACAAAATTGACTGTATTGGAAATTGGCCTGATGTGGCCTATAATGTGGCCGATAAATGGCCCATGTATGCGTACAGCAGGTAAATCTGTTGTGGTGGAAGGGAAGGGGGGAGAGAAAGGGGGGGGGCGCAAATCAAAGCCCCTGCTGTGAGAGAGGGAGTGGGACTGGGGCAGGTGCTGCCCAGCTGGGGCGGGGCATGGGACGGAGCCATGGCTCATCCAGGAGGTGTAGGGAGTGGGGAATGGCTCCCAATGCTGTGCTCACCCCAGGAGGGCATGGGGGGCATGTGACCCCTGGATCTGTATGGGGCGGGGTGGGTTGGGGCTGTGGCTGCACTGGGCTAGGCTGTGCTCAGGGCAGGGCAGTCAAGGGCCAATATGCCTCCTTATAAATTGGTGATTGATATCAGCCCCAAAAATCTATATCGGTACACTGCTATTCAGAGCCATCCCTAGGGCTTTGAGGGGCCTGGGGCATATCAGCCTGTGTGCGGCCAGGGGCGGTGGTGGCGACTGCCCGCAGAAGGCGGCTGTGGCGGCGGGACCATGGCAGGGCCTGTACGGCACTGTCCGTGGGGCCCCCCAAAGCATGGGCCCTGGGGCAGTCACCCCCCTTCCCTCCCCCTGTGGATGGCCCTGCCCCTGTTCATTATCTAGAGCTTTGGTTTGGGATTGTTCCTACTTCTGGTTGAAACATACAGTAGGATTAATTTGTTATTTCAATTGTCTTAATCCATTAAAAATGCAGATTAAGTTAAAATATAACATGACATTTTAATATCAAAATAAGTGTTCAAACAAGGTTTGCACTGGTTTAACTAATTAGCTTAAAGATATTTAAATTGAATTGGCACAAATTTTGTGTGTAAAAGATTGGTATAGTCTGCTTTTGTCTTGATATAGTCTTGATATAGCCTTGATATACTCTGCTTTTGTCAGGTATAATATATATGTTATTGCAGACCAGAGCATTAAGTTGAGCTCAGAAAAAAGAGCTGCACTAGTTTCGTATTCCATTTCTTGGCATTTTCTGTATCTCATGTACTTGTGCAATGCTGTTGTGTCTATTCATATGGTAGGTTGTGATCAAGCCTTTATTAAATCTATTTGTAACAGGGAACACTTACTCTGTTATGGAAAAGTAGGATGGCCCCTTCAAAGGAAGGGTTTTTGTGCATTGGACAAAGGCAGCTGGCAGAGATGGGGGGTTTCTGGAAAATTTTGAACTGGAAAATTTTCTGGAAATTTTTCTGGAAGATTTTCCAATGCCCTACATAGAGTGTGATCTGATTTAGCATGTTTATTTGATTTATATTTAGTAAACAAAACTGAAAAAGTACCCCCATGTTAATTTTATGTCCCAATAGCCACAAGTATTTGAACTGAAATATTTGATTTGGAAAAAAAATAAATACCGCTCACTTAATGTGGTTTAAATGTTATATTCAAACAAATTCAAAGCTTTTGTGGAAAGAAATTATTTTTATTGGAATACTTGTAAACATGTAAAGACCATACACAATAGCATGTGCTTCCCTTACATTGTTTGTTTAAATTTAAGGGAAAAAAAACCCCAAATCACTGAAAACTGTTGACACACTCATTTTAACACACCCAAAGAACTGTGCATGATATGCCGTGGTTGTCCACCCATCTACTTCAACACGGTTTAACTCTCTTCCACTGAGGTCATTGCGGCACCTCCAGTTTCACTGTCACTATCCGTAGAATCACTTGTACTACTTATTAATTCCATTTCAGAGTCAGATTGAGGCAAATCTGAATCAGAATTACTTGAACCACATTCTCTTTCGCTAAAGGATGGTTTTACCAATAAGTCTATGGGCAAGGGCAACTTACTGCTGCTTCTTCACTAATTGTGTTTCTGACTGATTCTCCAGAAACAAGAGATTCTGAGAAACAGAAACAAGCTTAGCAATGCATTCATTTGGTTTTGATTTCACCTGCACAGCCAATTATGGTGAATTCATAACTTGATTTTTGGTTTGGATTATTATGTGAGTGTATTTACCCTCCTGTTTAGAAATCAATAAAACATGTATGTACTCTCTCTCACACTTCCTAGGGATAATCACCTGAAAAACATTAATTACAATTTTGAAACTGCCAACCTTGCCTAATATTGTATTGGCATCCATTCATTGTTACTAATGAATTTTCTGAAACAATGCATTTTTAGAAATGGAAAATTTCCCATGGAAAAATGAAGTGCTGGAAAATTTTCCACCCCACATCTCTAGCTGGGGGTTAATAAACAGCCCTGCGGGCAGGTCAGCTGACAGGACACATGCCTGGAAGAGGGCAGGTCTCTGGGCATATAAAGCTCTGCCCGGAGCCAGAGCAGGCAGTTTGGCTCTGTGAGCTGAAGGGGTAAGAGCTAAGTTGGAAAGCTGATGGGGACTGCCTGGCTGACTTGAGAGGCCTTGAGCTCTGCAGCTGAGATGTCTACAGCTTGCAGGGAAGTGGTACCTAGTCTGGGGATAAAGCTTGTAGGTCCCTCCAGGGAGCTTCTGTTCTGTTGAAACCCAGTAGCAGAGAGAGTTGTGTTAGTCAGAGGGCTTTCTGGTTGTGTTGTGATTTATACGGCAGTTTGGGTTGGGACTGTGAGGGGTGGTCTTTGGAGGTCCCATTAGTGTCCTAGGGCCACATGATCACCTTGAGCCTTCCTGGGGGCAGACTCAAAGTATAGCAAGGGAGCAGCATGCCCAGTGCCCAGGCCAGGGCAAAGTTTGGGGCCAGTGAGTCCGGAGTCGGGGATGGGCAGGACTGAATTTTGGGGCCAGAAGGCCTGAAGCCTGAAAAGGGCAGAGACTGAGGCCAGAGGGTCCAGTGCCCACGAGGGGTGGAGATGGGATGTTGGGAACCCTGAAACTTGGTTTAGTCAGTGAACTAGAGCTGGAGGGCTCAGTGGAAGGAAAAAAGGTGGAAGCTGAGATGGCCAAACCCTTCCGAAGCAGGAACAACAGGCTTACTTGAGGCCCCTCAGGCAGCCTCCCTCCTAATTAAGTTTAACATCAAACACATAGTGGGCAAGACCGGGAGGTGAAAAGGCACCTGAAGAGCTAGAACCAGGGCAGAAATTGTGTGGCCACCAGGGGGTGTCATGGCTGCCCCTGGAGCATGAATGTGTTACACCGCTCTTCTAAGCATAAAGCACTCTGATGGTAGTACTTTAAAGAAGTTTCAGGGAGTTTGGTATTCACAGCAGCATTGATCTGAAACTGCTGGAGTGAGAGGTCATTGTCTTCAGACTGGCGAGCATTTTACAGATAGAGCACTCTGAACTGGGTGTTCACATTTGCCTTGTGTCCTCTGGGAACTGTATTCTCTGGGGATTGGATCTGGGAGAGTCATGCTCCTAAAGTGCATGGGAACACTTGAAAGTTCTACTCGGAGACTGAAGACGACAATTTTCCATTTGTTAATATCAACACTGAAGGCCTCGATTTTTCAGAAGTGCCCAATGCACTTAGGCACCTATGTTCTGTGAAAAGCTACTCAGAGCCAAGCAGTCGAGCTTCTCTGAAAATGCCAGCCCAAGTAAAATTGAACCATGGCAACTCAGCTGGAGTTCCTGAAATCTCTCACAAAATAAAAAGTGTTTAACATTCCACAACATATTTTTTCCACTGTGGTTTGCAAAGTAAAAATGCTGATTAGAAAACCCATTGCACCCATTCTGAACTACAGGAATCATGAATCCCACCCTATAGGAAATATGTTACTGTAGCTTTTCAGTAAATCTTCCAGATAAGGAAGCGATTTGCTTAATTTTTTTTAAGCAAGGCCACAGCTCAGTTACCTATGAGAATTCAGGCAGACAATGATGTTTAAGAGTCCCTTGCTCATTTCTCCCACTCAACATGTTTTTTACATTGAATCCCAAAGCGCTTGCAGAACATTTTTTTAACTTTTTCTTTGCATTGCAAGATTTCCAAAGTGTGATTGAGATGGAAAAGCAGCAGGCCAGTTAGCTCCCAGCTGCGCTCAGCGTCCAAATTGCTTCAAAACAAGGGCATGCTAAGATATTTGCTGCAGCTGTTTACCGTCATTCTAAGCAGAGTTCCTCTTAGTTCCTCACAGTCTTTCCTTAGTACTATCCAGTCTTCCCCTACTTGTTCCCTTGTCCTTTCACCTTCCTCTTGTCTTTCCCATTGCTGTTAATACCCTTTTTTAGATGCTGTCAAACTGCCCAAATGAAACATTCAGACATCAGTTTCCTGTTCCCTGCATCCCATGGAAGCTTCTCCTCCCAGCAGTCCTCCTCCTCTGTGAACGGGCCAGTATGCCAAACAGACAGAGAGGAAAGGTCACCCACTCCCCCATGACCATCCTGTTTTGGTTAGAGCTGGCCCCAAGTTGCACATCCCATGTCTCAGACTGGAGTATCTAAGATCTGGCCACTGCAGCCTGAATCCATTTCTAATCAAACTGTGTATTAGGGGAGGTGTCAGTGTTAGCCATCATCAAAGCCACTGAGTGGGGAATTAAAGAGGCTTGACTGAAATAGATGCTTATGTGTCCTCCACACCCAAATGCTCTGGCCGTCACTCTAAGTGATAACTATTGACCTTCCGCTTGTGCTGTAGAAAACAAGTACTTTCATCTTCTGGAGCCCAAGATCAAGGATGGGCTAGGGCAGGGGTGGGCAATTATTTGGGCCCAGGCACCGCACACAAAGATTTGATAAGTTGTCGTGGGCCAGGTCAGCATCTCCTCCCACAGTAACTCACCAAAATTCTCTATGTGGGATGGGGCTGCAGGCAGCTGAGGAGCGGTGTCTGGGAGCCGGATGAGCAGGCAAGGGTGGGATCATGGGTTGGGGTTGCAGGGCAGTGGCAGCATGGGCCAAGGCCTGGGACAGAGCTGCAATCCACTGCCTGCGCACCAGGGCTGTGCGAGACTTCAGACTGTGCTTCGGATCTGGAGAAGATTCGGGCACTTTGGATGCCAAAGCAGCATGTCCAGATCGAAAAGCTGGCTTCTTTCGGTTTTCCAAAGCGGTTTGGAGATTCCAAACCGCTTCAGAGCTGCTTTGGAGCCACTTTGGAGATCTGACCATAGGATATAATGGGGAACCAATGAAATATCTATAACTTTGTTGTTTTTTGTCTGATTTAGATGACACTTGCAGGGGTGGTAGCCTCTGCTGAGAGCATGAAGCCTGCCAAGTTTCAAGAAGATAGGTTCAGGGGTTTGGGGGGAACTGCACCCCAAATTCTTGCAAGCGAAACATGCACCCCCAGGGGGGTGAAAACTGCAGGGGTCGTAGCCCCTGGTGAGGCCACAAAGTCTGCCAAGTTTCAAGGTGATAGGTGCAGGGGTTTGGGGGGAACTGCACCTCAAGCTGCTGACAGGCAAAACTCGTGACAGATGACCCTGTGTGTGTTAAGGCGCAGTGGGCTGAAAACTACAGGAGTGGTGGCCCCTGCTGAGGCCACAAAGCCTGCAAAGTTTCAAGGAGATCGGTGCTGGGATTTGACAGGAACTGCACCTTAAACTGCAGACAAGCAAAACTCATGACATGGGTGACACCGTGTGTGTTAAGGCGCAGCAGGGTGAAAACTGCAGGCCTGCTAGCCCCTGCTACGGCCACATGCAATTGTGGTGTAACACATACACACGACGAGTTTCACTTTCAAGAATTTGGAGTGCAGTTCTCCCCAAGCCCCTACACTGATCTTCTTGAAATTTGGCAGGCTTCATGCTCTCAGCAGAGGCTACCACCCCTGCAGGTTTCATCCAAATCAGACAAAACACAACAAAGTTTTAGATATTTAATTGATTTCCTCATTATACCCTGTGGCCGGATCTCCGAGGTGGCTCCGAAGCTTTGGAGCTGCTTCGGCTGGATCGAAGTGGGAAACCGATCCGGAGCTCCAGATCGGATCCCTGGCATCTGAAGCAGCCGGACCCAAAGCCGGATTGAATAGCTGCCTACTTGCACAGGCCTACTGCGCACCCTGTGATGGGCGTGGGTTCTGCCGGCAGGGGCGTGCAGGGAGCAAATTGCGGCTCTGCCCCAGACCCTGGCCCCATGCTGTCACTACTTGCAGCCCCAGCCCCAGAGGCAGATTCCCACCTGCCCAGCCACGCGCCCTGTCCACACAGCTCTCAGCCAGTCTCCATGGAGACCCCAGGACGGCAGGGCTGGGACAACGTGGGCTGGGGCAGAGCCCCAGTTCAGCAGGCAGGGACGCGCAGGGCCAGGGTCGAGGGTAGAGCTGCAGTCAGATCCCTGCATGCCCCTGCCCTCTGAAGGGGGAGGAACTGGGGAGATGTGTGCACATGCATGTGTGTGGAGTGGGGGAGTGCCTGGATGCTAGGTCCCAGGAGTCAGCCATGGGTGAGGGGAGAGAGGGGGGGGCAGGGGACATTAAATCTCGCCTGGGTGGTTTAGCCCATGGCTGCCCCTGTGGCATTTGCATGGGGCCAAGTCCCGCCTGTTCCAATTGACCCCAGCCCTGGCCAGCGTGCACAGTTTACCAGCGGGGCTGCTCCCAGTGTGGCTGTAGCTGCCTGGGTGCTGCTCAACAACCCTCGCTTCCAGCAGCGGCTCCTCCGCCTGCTCCTCTTCCCGCTGCACCACTCCAGGTGGGGAGGAAACTTCAGTTGGGCAGCTCCTGCCTGAGCGCGTGGGGCTCTGGCTGCAGCTCCCAACTGCCTTCCACTCACGAACATGTAGATGCTGCCCTGGCTGGTGGGGCACAAGGGTGCTCCAGTACAGGGGCTGCCCGCCAGCCCCAGCCAGCCCCTCTGCAGGACATTGAGCGATGGGGAGCAGCCCTGGGCTGGCAGGTTTCCCCCCAGGCCTCCTGCCAGCTGGGGCTGTTCTGATCTGGCTCAGCATGCTATGTTCCCAGGCACACATGCAAACGACACACCTGGAACAATAAACTCTGATGTGATAAGCACCAGAATGTATTGAATTGCATTAATATGTGCATGTAGATACACCCAGTCTTTAATATGGTTCTCCTGTGAGGCTGAGCAGAATTATTATTTCTCTTTTACAAATGGGTGACTGAGGCGGGGGGGGGGGCTAAGTGACTTGTCCAGGGTCACACGGGAAGT